CTCTGTAAATCTTCATGCAAATTCTAATAAAAAAAAAAAAAGAATTGACACAGAGATACCACTACCAGGGTGAATGAGCCCATAATTTCCACAATGGAAATTCAGGTGGCCTGGATTTCAGGAGGAAGAACAAATTAACCCAATTCAGATTATATTCAAGCAAATCAATAACTATTAATTTCACTCTGCCCTTTCTTCAGAGGCTGTATAGTTGGCATGACAAAGCATGTTAAGTGTCAAAGGTCACTACCACCAATATAATATAAGTGGAGCAGGGAGTAGCATTGATTGTTTCTCTGATGCAAGGAGATGTCATCATCATTACTATAATACATTGACACAGCTTGTCCCAAAGTCAACTCCACCCCTCAACTATGTAAAGAGTCAATAAACCTGTCAAGCTGCTGTGACTTTAAAGTCTTCTTAAATCAACTAACAAATCTGTCCTGGACGAATGCTCCTCGGAAGTGAGAACAGCCAGACTTTGTTTGACCTATTTTGGCCATGTTGTCAGAAAGGACCATTCCCTGGAGAAGGAAGCAAGCTTGGTAAAGTGGAGGGTCAACAAAAAAAAGGGAAGGCCCTCAACAGGATGGATTGACACAGTGGCTGCAACGATGGGCTCAGGTATAGCAAAGACTGGGAGGCTGTTGCAGGACCGGGCAGTATTTCATTCTATTGTACATAGGGTCACTATGAATCAGAGCCAACTTGACAGGACCTAACAGCAACAGCAACATAAATCAACAGAGACAAGTAAGGCAACAAAAATAAAAGGAGAGGCAAGTAATAAAATACACTTGGGTTTCTGCTACAAGAAACACCTACCTGAAGACAAAGAAAGGGCTTGTTCCTGGAAATTTTACCACAGGCAAAAAGACTAATGTATTTCTCCCAATGTTTATCTGTATTTTTGTAACTTAGGAATCAAGCTGGTCTTTGAGGGTCATATTCTTGGGACTACCAAACTTCAGGAAATGTTAAATATTTTACAAATAAATTCCTTTAAGTTTTCTCATTCATTGATAATGGAAATTCCATCGACTAGACTATATGCTCAGTGTCTACGTTACTCTTCAATTTAGCTCTCTTCCATTGTGGTAGTTCAGTTTGTGAGTCAGCGTGGCTGGGCCTGGTTGAGTGGCTGGGCAGCTGTATGTAGTATTCCCCATGATGAGACTGGTAATCAACTCCATGTTGGAATCTACTATGAGCAGCTGAGCAGACACCTTAGGGAATGTGGTCTGCTTCCTGTATACAAGGAAAAGCCTTGAGGACAGTCTCTAGCTTATGGCACGCTTGGACCCTGCATGTAGCTGTGCCATTGTTCAGCAGCCTGCCATGCTCTGCTGGCCTGGGGCCTTACAATGGACTTGAATTAATGGCTTGCCATGTGGTTTGGTAATATTGGGACTGTGCCTTTTTACTTGTCAACCTTGGGCTTGGCAGCCTCAGCAGCCAGCAGCTGTCTGAGTGAAGAAAAGCCTCTAGCTTCAGTGGGCCAGGAGCTGGAGGCAGAGCTAAAGCCCAAGGCTGGGGGGCTTTCACCCAGCTCCTAGAGCCTGGCACTTTGAACTTGGACTTAAAGCCTCCAAACTATGATAGAATAAACTCCTGTTTGTTAAGGCCATCCCATTTGTGGTATATTCTTGTCAGAGCGGTACTAGGTAACCAGAACATCCATATATATGAAATGCTGACAAACATCATCTAACATAATTATTCAAGTATTTCAGATATATTCTTGCTGATATTTCATATCCGTAAAACCAAGCATTTATGGAGTTTTGTTTAAAGCTTTGAACACAGCTTTTGATTATTGACTTTTCTTTAAAAACTAGCTGTTTAATTTCTACATAAGTGTAGGGAGGGAAGGTCCAGCAACTGTAGGGAAGGTAGGGGGCAGGTAGAGAAGAGTAGGTGGCACAAAGTCACTACAAGGTACCATGGTGTCCCTTCCTGGAAAAAAAGCATGCTTTTCCTTTTGAGATGAACCTTACACTGCCTGTCCTTCTCCCTAGATAATGCATTTCCAGAGTTCTCGTCAGCCCTGCATACCAAGAATGAAGTCAGAAGTATTTCATTTTAAGTGAGAACAGTATCCCCTCCTTATAAATGACTGAGGTTCTCTTGATGAGCTGCTGATACACTGATGGCTTTGTGTTGGAAAATTTCCTCTCTGAACATGCCTTACTTGCACAGTTAACTTTCCAAAGTCTTCCCTGGAATCTTGGAGGCTTTAAATACACCAATGTTGGCAAACCAAACTCTGTATTTTAAGAAGAGGTTCAGAGGAGAGGGTGTTGCATGGTGTTTATTAGCTGTTAATCTGTTAGAAGTAGGAATAGAAGACATCTCCACCTAGTCACCCTACATTAATGCTGAATACAGTACATGAAACTATTTGTGGAGAGAATGGGCCTGGGCAATTAGAGTCCAGAATAATAAGGGGATAGGCAGATAAAGCCATGCTGAGCCTTGGTGGATATAAGAAATAGATAGGCCAGGCTTAGGTCTGACTGCTTTGTTTTGGAATGTTGGCTGCTCACCAGAATATTTTAGGATTCCCTTTAATGGCACAGGAGGCTCACTGAAAATGGCAGGGTCTTTATTGTTCCACGTCCTCTTCCATTCTTCCCAGGAACATGTACCAATGATGAGGACAAAATATGAGCTCAAGGACAAAGAACAGTCCCTTCTCATTTCATAATAAAGTGCTGGTAGACTAAAGCAGCAATAATACAGTGATATGCATGCCAGTATTATACTTATTGGAAAGATATAAAATATACTTTGGTTTCATTCTCATAGCAGGCAAAAAGGCTATGGCAAAGATGTGAATAATTTTATTTATTCAGCCAATTTTTAAGCAGCCATTAGGATAGTAATATTTATCCAAAATCGAAAATGTAACTAAAAGACTGAATTATAAGATTATAGATTTAAAAGTAGAGGAGGATCTTGGATGTCATCTACTTCTATCTCTTATGGTTAACTCTGAATGGTTATCCATCCTAATGTTGGTGTATTTCCCAAGGAAAATATTGTGGTTTTTTTCTTTGTTTGTTTTTGGGCATATATGTTAGAAAGTTCTTTCTGACATTGAGCTGAAGTCTCTGATGTAACTTTCACCCTCTGGTGCCATTACCAATGGATTAATGGTGACAGTATCAGCCATTTTCCACAAGGAGTTCACTTGTCACATCATCCCCTTTAGCTATTGAGACCATAATGTACAACATGCCATATACGAACACACACATGGTCCATGTAGTCCAGTCATCATCGTCATCATGTGCCATCAAGTCGGACCCAACTCATAGTGACCCCTCCTTGGGTTTCTGAGGCAGTATCACTATGGAAGTGGATTGCCCAACCTTCCTTCCGAGGAGTGGCTGGTGGGTTTGAACCGCCAGCCTTCTGGTTAGCAGTCAAGTGCCTTAGGCACTATGCTACCACAGCTCCCTCTAGTCTAGTAGTCTATCACAAGTGTCATTTTTGTTGTGCAGAGGAAGGGAGCATGTCTACCAAAAAAATAATGGCTAAGACCATACATTCCTTACTTCACTTTCCTAATCCACTGTGGATCCATCTCACAGAGATTTATCCTAGACCTTTATTGAACCTATTTATGTATTCAGAATGTATCTCTTTTGGGAAAAACTAACCATATTCTTTCAAAGACTATAATGCTCAAAACAGACATACTTTTGATAATTAACCTACTATTTGGTTTAAAGAAATCTTCAGGGGATATTTTTGGTTTAAGGTTTAAAGATTATCTCAGGGCAACAGTTTCAAGGGCTCATCCAGCCTCATTGGCTCAGAAAGTTGGAGTCAGTTGAGAATTTGAAATTCTGTTTCACATTGTTTCCGTTTTTGATCAGGATTCTTTTATAAAATCTTTAATTAAACTGTTCAGTAATGGTAGCTGACCACCATCCAGTTCTCTGATCTCATGGCAAAGGAAGCAACCAGACACATCTTCAATTTCCTCCTCTGATTTCTGACTCTCCTCCTTCTTTTTTTGCTTCTGGTGAATGGATACCAATTGTTGTACCTTGGATGGCTGCTTGCTAGGTTTGAAGACCCCAGTCATGAAGCAACAAACTAGGAGATAGAAAAGAGGTACTGCGAAACAAAACTAGGCTAATTGATCGGGAGTTTTCCTTTAAACCATGACCCTAAACCTCCAAACCAAAAGACATTTG